TACTTTTCAGCATATCCTGGTCAGCCATCTGCTCCTAAAGTAGCCAGTGCCTTTAAAAACTGCATTAACCTGGCATGGACTCCTCCAACCAACACTGGAGGAACCAGTATTTTGGGTTATAACTTAGAGAAACGCAAGAAGGGCAGCAACTTGTGGGGTCAAGTCAATCCAACAGATCAGCCAATCCAAGGTTTGTATCTCATATTTTTACACAAGTTACTTTAAAGTACTGTCTGCTAGTAATGTTTACTTCTCAATTGCCATCCACAGCAAAGAAATATCCTGTAAAAGATGTAGTTGAAGGAATGGAGTATGAGTTTCGTGTGTCTGCCATCAACATATCTGGAGCTGGTGAACCAAGTAACCCCTCAGAATTTGTGTTTGCAAGAGATCCCAAAAGTGAGTAATTTCTCAGGTTGCTCATTATCTTCAAAAAGAGAAGAGGAATTCAGCATAAGTATTCTCAAAGCTGTACATTTCAAAAAATGAACCATGGCCTCCCCTCATAGATATGCAAAAATAGCAGATTTAGGTCAGAATTTTCTGGGTTTCAAAATAACAAGCTAATTTGAACTCCTCTTGCACTTCTCCCTATTTTCTCGTTCAACGTTTTCTCATGCAAATGCTTTCATCTCAATTTCCTGTTAGAACCCCCTGGTAAAGTCATTGACCTTAAAGTGACAGACTCCACCTATACTACCTTATCCTTGTCTTGGACTAAACCAAAAGAAGAGCCTGGTGTTCAGGATGAGGCCAAGGGATACTTTGTGGATGTCAGGCCTGCTGAGAACACTGAATGGGATCGATGCATCACAAATGCCATTACCATGACCTCTTACACTGTAAAGGGACTGAAATCAATGGCCATGTATTGGGTTAGAGTGATCGCCGTCAATGAAGGTGGAGAGGGTGAGCCGCAGGAGCTGAACAACTACATCTTGGCTATGCCTCCTCCAGGTGAATCATCTCATCTACGTTCAGAAAGGCCATAAAATGAAAAAAAACTACCTCTCATTTTCAAAAACTGAACTGGATGTGCCCCATTATTAAATCAAGGTTTTGTTTTTCTTAGTGAGACCGAGATTCACGGATTCTAAGATCAAGAGCTTCATTGTGGTCAGAGCTGGAAATTCTGCACGATTCAACATCAACTTTGAGGTAATGGGCAATATTAAAACCATACTATTAGAGACCAAACCAGGGGTTTAGAACTTGTATCACAAAAAGTGTGTCACTTTTTGGGAGACAATCATTATATTCTACCTGTCGTGTGAAGGTCTGAAATATAACCAGACTCCTGTTGCCCCTCCTCGATTCCTTGATCAAAAATGTAGTGCTGACTTCAGCAAATCATTTAGGACTACTAGCTGAATAATATGTCCCATAATTAATATTCATGAGCCAGGCTATAACGTGCTCCCTTCTCATACACTTTTCAGATCATTCCTATTCCACTCATTAAAACTATATTTTGCTCTGGCCACATGTCCGATACTTGTCCTATATTAACTTTTCACAGGCTTCCCCACTGCCTGATGTCATCTGGCTTAAAGATGGTATCCCTGTGTCCAAACGTGCCACTATTAGCAATGCTGAGGGAGGTTCTCAGATCCTGATCCCATCTGCAGATCGCTCCGATACAGGAATCTATACCATCATAGTCAAGAACGTTGTGGGACAAGAGACCTTCAGTATTGAGATTAGAGTTACAGGTAAAATAAGGGAACCAGTGTATGTCTGTGAATCTGTTATTATCAAAGATACCATCTTAAATGATTGACTGTAGCATCACCAAATAGAATTGAAAAAATGTTTTCAAATATGTTTTCCTAAATAGTCCCAGTCTGTCTGGTTGAAAAACATAGCTATACCCCCATCTCACGCCATGTTGATATGTTGGGCTGGTCGGAATTTTTAAACAGAGCAATGTTTTGTTAGTATTGTACCACAGATCCACGGTGCTTGTATTTTTTTGGTGAAATCATTTTATGAATAACTTATAGTCTCAACGTATTAAGCTGGGACTATAGAAAAGTATTTGAACTAACTCAATAAAAAAAAACACACAAAGAGAAATGTACACTACTGTTCAAAAGTCACCAAGGCTGCATTTATTTGAATACAGTAAAATTTTTATTACAATTAAATGTGTTTTTCCCTATTTTAGTATAATTAAAAATGCTATATATTCCCATGATGGCAAAGCTGAATTTTCAGCCATTACTCCAGTCTTTAGTGTCACATGATCTTTCTGAAATCATTCAAATATGCCCATTTTGTATGCAATGCATTTTTCTAATTATTATCAATACTGAAAACAGTTGTGCTGCTTAATATTTTTGCAGAAACTGTTCAAATGAACATTTATTTGAAAAATCTTTACTGTCACTTTTGATTAATTTAATGCATCCTTGCTGATAAAAAGTATTAATTTATTTTTAAAAAATTTTTTGAATGGCAGTGTAGATTTCTAGATAGTTATAAAAACAATATACTAAACCACACTTGGTCTGTAGAGGAATTTACATGTAATAGCCTTGATCCGCCAGTCCTGATGAACTGTTTTGGTGTAGATGAGCCAAAGCCCCCAGGCCCCATAGAGTTGGATGAGAATGTTCCGGGCACGGTGACAGTTTCCTGGGAACCATCCCCAGATGAGAAACGCGATGATCGCCTGCATTACATGGTGACCAAGAGAGACTCGAGCAAGAGGACCTGGCACACTGTAGCAGACCGTATCTTCAACAACCGTTTCACAGCCTGTAACATCATGCCAGGGAGAGAATACCAGTTCCGTGTGTACTCCAAAAATGACATTGGCCTGTCTGCCCCTTCGGAGTCACCAAAATGGCTAATCACATGCAAGAAAGGTTTGTGATATTGGGGTATGGTGATTCGAGCTACTAGCATTATTCATATTCAGTCCTTTTGTAAAGCCAGCGGCTATTTACTGAAAATGGTGGATGATATTTATGCTACGTGGTATAATTGTAGATACTGTTTGCATTAAGTATAAACAGCAATACATAGCATCTATGTGAAAATTGAAACAGATGTATTACACAGTGTAAGTGAATAACATCTCAGTGGGTGGGTGGGGTCAGCTATTTGGACTCAAATGTAAACAGACACAACCTATTATAAACTGGTTTATGATGATAAATAGTTCACAAACTGAATGAAAACAGTGGTTTTCAACTGGTTTTTGCTTCAACACCCAAATTTGTGCATCAAGTGGTGACCCGACACAGTGTCAAAATTATATTTTATGTTCATATATAAACGTAACAAAAAGCCATGAAAATCAAACATGGTAAATGTATTAATATTACCACGAACTGCAATGTGCAAAGCCTACACACTGGGCCAAATATATTATTTGTAACGCTTACCAATTAGGTTCCAATGTTTAACATCAGTTAACTACAAAAGTTAAAGTTAGCTATCAATAAAAACATGTCTAAAGCATTTATTCATCTTAATTTCAACATTTAATAACACATTAATAAAAATCAAAACTTGTATCTGTTAATATTATATAATGGACCTGAACTAACAATGAATGGTTGTTTTTTAATTTAAAAATGTTAACAAAGATTAATACATACTGTAACAAAAGTATTACTAATTGTTAGTTAATGCATTAATGGGACCTAGTTGTATTGTTACCATGATAATATACTAATATGTTAGTAATATTCCCAAGTGACAGATGAATTTGATTGAATATCCTTCAACAACAAATTATATTGGAAGTGATTTTTACCCAAAATGTACTTGCTTACATTATATGGTTAGTATCTGCTATCGCAGGTCCATCAGACCTGTAACCCATTTTTGGATTGTGACCCATCAGTTGAGAACCACTGATTTAGACTCTATCTGGTCTTATGCACATTCTGCCACTAGGGGGTGTATGTTTACTGTGGACACCCTGCCAACACATGCACCAAACTGTGACCCTTCAGGGTCCCACCCACTCACCGACATGTCAAGTACACAACCTTAATCAACTGATTTTTAACCAGGCTCCTTCAATTTTTGCAGAAAAATTCACACTGAACATCCCAGAGTCCAAGACCTGCAACTTGGAGAGTCCTCCGAGGTTTATGGTTCCCCTGAAAATCCACACAGCCCCACAAGGCTACGAGTGCTACATGAGCTGTGCCGTGAGGGGCAAACCCACACCCCATGTCACCTGGTACCGCAACAATGTCAGCCTCAACACTGACACCAACTACTACATCACTAACACCTGTGGAGTGTGCTCCATGCTCATTCTCAGGGTTGGAGCCAAAGACATGGGAGAGTATAAAGTCATAGCTGAGAGCTCACTGGGAAGAGCAGAGTGCACCACCAATCTCGCAGTGAGAGGTAAGGTTCTACATGAAGAAATTTACACCATTAAGCACCTGATGACAGCTGGGTTTCCAGCTTTCCAATTTTAAAAAACTGAACCTTCATGAATCTGCCTTACCAAAGCATTAACATTTTTTTCACTATACAAAGCTCTAAGTACAATTTTAGAAGTCGTACTTTATCTCTAAGCAAGTTTCCCCAAAACATCATCTACTTATTTGCAATGTAAAACCATATATAAATTCTCAGACCTTTTTTAGTGTTAAAAAACTGAACCTTCATGAATCTGCCTTACCAAAGCATTAACATTTTTTTCACTATATTCAGTAATGCTTAATAACTTCCAGTGCCTTGACAAGGTAACTTACATATTACATATTCAGCAGCATTTTCAAACTGTTTTAATGTTGTGGAGACAAACGCCTGAAGATCCTGGCAACCACTGTGTTCTTTGGACCTAACAGTAACAATGCACATACATTTTACTAACAAGCATTCTGTGTGCTGGTTTGAGAAACCAGCGTCAATCCATCCAAATGCAGGGTGATCCGCAGTAATATTGGGAAACTCAGCAAATGCCACTCAGAAAAGTTATTAAATGACAAAATGAAAACATCTAAATGCTTCTGAATCCAATTTTACAAGGCATCCTACCAATGCAACACTATATGCAGCTAAATTCAGTATAATGCTTCTAAACACATTTCTAATCATATCTTCAGAAATCCTAAGAATAACTTGGTTAACACTTCTATTTCATATAATTAAGTGTTAACTCGCAAAACAAAGGTACAATCAGTTAAAGGGATAGTTCACCCAAAAATGAAAATGTGATGTTTATCTGCTTACCCCCAGGGCATCCAAGATGTAGGTGACTTTGTTTCTTCAGTAGAACACAAACGATGATTTTTAACTCCATCCGTTGCAGTCCATCAGCCTTATAATGCATGTCAAAATGGTAACAAAATCTATGAGAGTAAAAAAAGACACATGCTTGTGTGGAAATATTTTGCTTCTTCAGATATCGTTTATCAACAAAAATGGTTTGGTGTAAATAAAATATTGAGGTTCTTTGAACAGTGCACTTGTGTATCGACTGTTATTGTACCTTATCATTACAAATCCATTACTCTGCATATGAATTCAAAGCACAATGATCCGATTATTAATCCATGATCCTATGCTCCTAAAATTCTCAAGAGCTGTGTTTCTGAACCCATCCATTCAGAAACAGATAAAGCGAGAGAAATATTATACAGAAGTGCCATATGAATGCATACTGATGACACCATAAAGTCTCACTTATAAGTAAAGCCTGAACATGCTGTCCTTGTTATATTTGGACTATTTTACTGCATGCCAATAAATTTTTTTAATGGCCTGACAGGGTCCAGCACATGTAACATCAGTATAGTGCTCCTGTGGCGTGCTCGTGTGTATTTGTCAGACTTAAGAGTCACTATATCATGATGATTTATGACCTTTCCGTCTCTTCTGATTCATATATGGGCCATAACGTCCTGGCCTGACCATACCAATGCAACTTCAAACTTGTATCCAACAAGCATGGGATTTGTCTTGGCCAGTTAAACGTCTATGCAACCCATGAATCATTTAGAATAATTTATCTCCAAAACTATTGCATACATTTACATTAAGCATTAACAAACAACATTTTTGTTTGTTTTTTCTTCAACAAGTTTTCTTTTTTTCTTCAAACGAGAACCATTCATTTTTGTTAATATAGGCTAGATTAGTCTTATATGACCCACTTTTGATGTGGTACACAATTACAATGACAAATGATACACAACTTTTAGAAATAAAATCATCATTGTTGGTAGGTTCAAGGCACATCATTCTGAGAAGCACAAGCTTACCTTTCTCACATCACAAGGAAGCTGCTCCTTTGGCTGTCACTGCTGCACTGCATGTTTTTTTTTTACAGTGGATAGTTTATAAGACACTCTAAGCTTCATTCTCCAGCCTGGTCCCATATCTAAGGGAGGAGTCACAGTTCCTCATCACACTCAGGTCTTTGATCAGAACTCACGGGTAAGACTATCCCTCAGCCAACACCCTAAGGAGCAACAGGACACCTTTGAGGGCCATCTCAAGTTGGATCGCAAAGGTACAAGTCACAAAGTAAGTAGTCGATGCAATATTTAGTATTCATACTATTATGCTACATTATACCAGGATTGTACACAATTAAAAGGAGTAATGCACCTGACCAGTCAGCATAGGTTGGTGATGCCTGAAGTGTTAAACTGGCCCTGGATTACTGCATATAATTTATATCAGCTTGCTCTGAACATAACTACTGATTTTGTGCTATTTATGTAGGAATCAGATAATTTGGACAACATCTTCAATTAATTTGCATTAAACATTTTTGGTATGTATGAGCATTTTTGCAAGGAAAAAAACAGCATGTACAATATTGATTGAATAATGATTGTTATATAGCCAATAGGTAAATTCTTTGTTTTTTATGGCATTTCACTGTGATTGTTGTTTCATCTCTAAACACAGAGATGAAAATGTTTGATTCCCCCTGGAATAGTTCTCAGAAAGATGAACAGAGACATCTGTTGGGCTGAAACATTTTCATGATGGTCTCTATTCCTATTCCTAAGTGGTTTCCTATTATCATATAATGATGAAAGGATGCTACACCATCTGTTTTCTTAGCTTGGAGCAATATTTGTGACATGCAGCTTTTACATTGATCTGTAAATGTAAGCCATGTTTATTTTAGGCCATGATGTTATTTTTATTGGTCCCACACCACTCCACAGCCAACAACTCTGAGATTTCTGGTCAATTATACTGGAGCACAATTACTTTTAATGATGAAAATAGGTCAGAATTGATGGATCATTGAGAAAAACAAATAACTTATATATTAACAATATACATTATTTTAAATAATAATTTAATATGTCATGGAATGTATGCATTTATGTCATAGACAATAACAAATGTACAATTATAAATATGTAAATAGATAATGATGATTCTACCAACAATTAATAACTTCTCATGTGTACAGTTCTAATACCACAGGCAATCCTAAGAGCAGGGTAAGGGAAAAGATAATTTAATAAGTCATAAAATCTGACAAAAAATTGTCAAAGCAGTAAGAGAAGCCTTGTTCCCATTAATGGGGGGTTGATATCTTAGGACACGAGACCCTTTCCAGGCCTCCCTTGGGCATATTTATAAATCAATCATATGTCTCAGTTGCTAGGGATGGCTATTTTTCATCTCCTACAAATATGGTTAACCCTGATAAGACGCTGTCTGCAGATAAACTTATCTTGATGTACTGCTTAGATTATAAGTCAACACCTAATTTATAGCTGTATGATTATAGTGTGTTCAGTTGTGTGTGTGTGTGTGCATATAAGATTATATATTTCATATAT